TAATTTGTATTATTACTGTCACACACACAGCTATGGAGGCTAGTCATCCAAAATCCACAGGCAGGTCCAAGTTCCATGTGATTCCCATATTGGCATCCTACCTCACGCTGGGTCATTGTACTTTGAAGACAATCTTTGTCACTCCTGGTTCTGCAGTTGCATAAGTCAAGTCTCTGCCACCACCTTCACACACATCTGTCTATGACTCCCTGTCTTCACTTGGAAGTTGTCATATGAGAATGTCAGACATACTGAACCAAATGGCCTCCTCTTAACTTATGTCATCTGCAATGATACTACTTTTTAAACAAGTTCAAATTCTGCTTAGTAGGTTCTCAGGGAATTGACATATGTCATGAGAACATACCTTCTTTTGTTTTCTGCTTTAATTTGCATTTTTTTTGCAAAAGAAAGAGGACTCACCTCCTTTGGCAAGTTTCAGATTTTCAATCAGTTAAAATTCTGTTAGTCTTGAGTTACCTGTTTTCTATTTTGCATCTGCTAAAGTGCTCCAGAAATCTGAATACATTTTATTCTGTATCTTAATTTTTCTTTTTGAAATTGGTCTGTAGGCCTAAAGGCTATTTATAATTGAAGGGTAGGGAAATATACATTTTTCTAAAGTGACTACCAGGTTGAGAGAAACAGGTTTATGTTCATTTCATTGTGGGAAGGAAAAGGAAATCTTTTGATCAGAAGGAAAGGACTGAGTTTGTACCAATAACTGTGTTCCTCTACCACATCTGTTCCTGCACTGTGTGACATAAATATGCCACTGAGCACTGATTCTCAGACTCAGCCTTTGGGATATTCCCAGTTATAATCAGTTGTATACATACGGAGAACCAGAAAAATGTAAAATATCTACAGGAATAATTTTACAAATGTATGAGAAGGGTTGCTTGTGCAATATTAAAAGTCATGAATATCTTCTGGTGACTTTGTTATATATATAAATTCTTAGGACCAATTCGCATTTGATTTAGTATGGATGAAATGGGGAATTGTATTTTAACTCTGCACCAGTAACGCACTGATTTCAGGCTTCAAGGAAACATACTTGGTTTATATAACCAGTATGAATGGAGATATGTATATTCATGCGTTTGATTTTTCAGTGTTGGAGAATGAAAGCAGGGAATCACATATTTATGCAAGTCCTCTAATATGGTGCTACACCCATGCTTTTTCATGATCCTCCAATGAGATTTTTAATGCTAGCTGTGAATATTTCATTACATTTATATATGTGTATGTACAATACACATATAAATCACATGTACATATGTATATGTTTAGTATAGGTTAGTGCTGACCCTTGCTCTTTGAGTGTAGAGATTCAGACAGGATGCACTCAGAATTGGTTTGCATTTGGGAGACAGAACACTTGAGAGATACAATAATGGCTGTTGCCTTGGATAGAGGAGAGAAATCACCTACTAACTGTACCTATAATGTACAAAAGTTTCAATAGAGCAAGTGAGTAGTGCAAGAGTCAATTACTTACTGTGATTTAGGAAAATCCCCAAGGTAATCACCATTCATTCCAATTTCCAGGCGAGCTTAACATTTTCTTCAGCATGGTGGAGCCAACTTTCTGTCCTCTCATGGTCCGCATAAAGGCTTTTGCTCTCCTAGGTACCAAATGTTCCAAGACTCATTGTCCTCTACTCCACTTGCAAGGATGAATACAATCTCCAATCATCCAGATATTATATGATAGAATTCTACTGGACTGTCCACTGTGACCACTCACATCTTGGTGCCAGTGTCTAGACTCGTGTGACACTGGCTCGTGACATAGAAGACTGGGTAGGGGGGATGTTTTTCTTTTAACATGCTATAGTTCAGAGTCTATGCTGGGGAAATATCACCACTGGGAGAGTCCTGCCTGGTGGGAGAGCAAGTGAATCTTTCTTTCAAATAAAAGTGCAATTGACAGCACATGATAAAATGCTGGTAAGCAGCAGAGTTTGGGGACCATCATGAGATTTTTTGGTTTGTTTGTAGTTTGACTGGTACTCAGAAACATCCATTTCTATCTGCCTGTGTCATGTTGTTTCATGTTGTTCCAATATACATGAGAATCAGCCTCACCTTCTAGGGGCTCCTGCTCTGATATGCCTATCCTTTGCGTTGGATGAGACATCTTTGGATCTAGATAAGTGGATGGGCACCCCTGAGCTTGGCCCTTCTTAACTCTGAATATAGTGCATAAGAAACCTGAGAAGACTCCTGGCTCCTGTAGGTACTGGTATATGGTGTAGCTAGCAACATTAACGTTATTCCTCAGGGTACATGTGTGTGTGATGGAAGCTCCAGAAAATGAGAGATGGTCATAGCTGAGTCAGCACAAGCTGGGCAATGAATCTGCAAACACATACCTTATGAGTCATTGGAAATAAAAATATAATATTTGGGTCTGAGATCTTCCTTATCTGTCCGTGAAATTGGGTAAAGAGGAGAAGAGGAAAGCCATGGTGGATAGCTTCAGATTCTGCAGATATCTGAGTTGTATAGACTGATTGAGCATCAGGAGGGTAGGGCAAGTAAGGTGGTTCAGTGGTCAGAGATATAACCAAGATATCTATGTTTTTGACCAACCCCTGATTTCTAGCTTCTAGTCACTGTGTGGAAAGCTAATAGATAAGACAGGAGTCTATGCCATGCTGGAAAATCCTGTAAATCTCTGAGTCTAAGGACCATTCATACTGAGCTCTCATTCCCTTTAATCAATTCAGCATCAGGATATGAAGAGTGTTCATGTAAAACAGCCTATTCTTGGACTGAATATGAACTGACCAGAAAACTATACTGAGAAGAGTGTACCTCGGTTGGTCTGGGGTTCTCTCAGGGCCTGGTGAATACACAACTGCTGAGCCAGCTAGCAGATAAGATGATTTCAGCCAAGGGATTACACCAGCTCCTAGGTGGAACCAAACAAACAATTGTCAAGGGGAGCCAAAATTCTGTTGCGAGGTCCGATCCTTGTTGCCTTCTTTGTTGTCCACTGTATCCTCTGTAAAAGGATAGAACTGACTGGTGTAACATATAATGACACTATATGACTCATGTCTCCACACAGACCTTTGTATATGGAGTCTTCTTTCATATGTGGTGGATTTACAGGATAATCCTGGGAATTTTTTACCCCTGATGGTGCATCTGGTATGCAACGAAAAAGAATTTATCAGAGAAAAGCAGTCCACAAGTTTCACATGTCCTTTCCTCTCCTGACAAAGAGTCAGCTAATTCTAGGGTTGATTATGGGATTTGGGGCTTTTGCTATGTGTGCTCTTCTTTCTCTTTCTGTTCCTCTTTCTTCCATTCATCTTCCTTCCTGCTCTCTTTCTCTCCTCATTTCTTTCTCTTTTCTTTCATTTCTACTTCATGTTTAAGACCTAGGAGCTGTCTTGCTAATTTGCATTGGGATAGTTTTCCTTATGTAGCCAGAGTGGCCTTGAAGTCTCGATATCCTACCCAACTTTCACATGCTGAGATAGAGTAAGGCACACACACATATATCTCAGAAAGTTGAGTGTGACAGCATACATGAATGTTCTCATCTGCTAAGAAGAGATTTGTGTACAGACTGGAATCAGTGTTCATGTACCAGGAAAACCTGTTGGGAATTTAAAATTAAAGATGTTATAGTGCAAATTTTTGGTCCAACCAAAGACGTTCTACATGATGGATCTACACAAGGAATAGTGTTAAGAGGTGGTACACATTTGAGGTGATTCCAACATGAATGGACTAGTGCTTTAAAAAGCAGGCTATATATGTATAAATATATGTATATATGTATAATTCATATATATCTGAATATAGAATGAACCATGCATATACATATGAATATAGAATGAACCATCTCAAACCATTTAATAGACCCACCCCAGAAAATAACGATCAGTGTCCTGATCATGGATTTTACTGCTTCAACATTGGTGAGAAATACATGACTATTGTTTATAAGCCCTGCTCACGGTCATCTGTCATAGTTCTCCCAATGCATTAAGTCCTTGGGAGAGCAACAGAGGGAAGATAATTTATCTCTGGATAAAAAACCTGAAACCTAAGAATCATTATCTTGCCTGACTATTATTAATATTTGAAGCCAGTGTAAACACCACTACTGTCCAAGAAGATTGAAAGAGGAACAGTGAAGATACTCCTGAGGAGTTATTTCCAAGAGCCCTTATGTCAGTCACTTGTGTAGAGAGAAGTGTGAGAGGCCTGAGCAGCACAGGATGACACCCAGTGGTAATATTAAAACACCAATAGTGTGGAAATAACATATATATTCTTCTGATTCTCATTCAATACTCTTATTATGGAATATGTTTTCATTTCAGAATATACCTAAACCCTGTGTGGCCCAAGCATCATGAAGTCTCAGCAGAGTCAGAGATCCCCATAGGGAGCATAATGGAAGTGGTTATTATGGAACTATGCCTGTGGGATTTATTGCCATGCTGGTGGTCACTTTGCTCACTAAAATGACATAATTACTGTTATTCTTAGGGGAGGGAGACTGGTGTACCAGGAAACACCAAAATTTGCTTGCTCTGAGCATCAGAAAAGCAAAGCAGTTACCAGAGTCAGGCTGTAGTGCAGTTTCAGTGGAATGTGATTTCTTCCTTATGGATGGTCAAATGGTCTGTGTTGGGCACACTGTGGACTCAATGACTTATCAGGAGCCCTCACATTACAAATAATTTGAGCCAGTGTAGCCACTGAAGTGAAACTGGTGGGGTTAATGTAATATTTTGTCCATTCATCCTTAGAGGGGAATGTGTGGTAGTGAAGGTGTCTTGTTTAGGAATGTATTAGCTACACATCATAACTAATGAATACCGGAAGATATTTTCATGTCTATAGGTAGTAAAATATCACTTATTAACAAAAAAGTGATGATAAATCACTTCCTAATTTGCAACAGTCCCAAACAGTATAAGATTGATATCATAACAAAAAAGAGGTTTTAGTATCACTTCCCACTATGTCCGGATCACTGTGTTAATGCCAGTGTTGCCATGATATGTTCCACAGTAATAGTCAGCCTCATCATCAGGCTGAAGTCCAGAGATGAGTAAAATCCCTGCATTGGCTGAGGCATCTTTGGATCCAGAGAAGCGGCTGGGGACCCCAGGTCCCTGGTACTTATCTGATTCTGAGTAGTATCTTAGCAGAAACTGAGGTGCATTCTCTGTCTTTTGCTGGTACCAGGATATATGATATCCAGGTACTTTAAAACCACTGCTCAGTGTGCACATGAGTCTGGCAGAAGATCCAGGAGATGCAGAGACAGAGGATATCTGAGTCAACACAGGCTGGGAGAGGGAACCTGGAAAAAGAAACAGTGCTGAGTGTGTAAGCAAAGATAATTATATAGCAGCTAAGACATCCTAGCCACAGGGTGCTGGATCAGACAGGGTGGAAGGCCTTTGGCATTTGTATCCTGCTCTTACCCGAGAAGTGACAGAAGACCAGGAGGCCTAAGACCAAGACCATGTTCGACACCTCTCTCCTAAGGTTCATTTCTACAGTGAGCTCTTCTGAGCCTCTCTTATCTGCCTCTGAATGGCAAGAAGAAGGAAAGGACATGCAAATATGTGCCCACCTACAACTCTCCAGTACCACTTCTTTAGGTCCTTAGACACGGAAGTCTAAATGTTGTGATGCGTTCATTTGCCTATTGGTTGTAACCAGGAGGAGGCAGGTCTTGGTAACTCAACTGAAGACCCAGCTACCGAGTCCACATTAATAATTTAGAGTCCACTTCCTTCTGCTAACATAACATCCACTCAGTTTTTTGGGGATTCCTCTGCAAGAGCACAATTTAAGATCCCATAGAGCCCCACCATCTGAGCCCTACCAACCCCATTTTTCTTACATTTTTTGTTTTCACTATGATTCCAGGAATGAGACATTTATGTCCTCAGCAAAAGGCTCAGCTACATAATGCTAACTCCCAATATATATATGTTTTTGAGGCACTTGTTATTTCAAAGGACAAATTCACCAGAAATCAGTAACACAGTGATTATAGAAATTGTCACCAAAGAGAAGAGCTGCCTTAGAATGCTCATAGCTGGGATGTTTAGGACAATCTTCTGAGTGAATGACTATTTTTCAAGTGCTATTATAATGTGCAAAGTAAAACAGGTGAGGGGTTTCTCATTCAGAACTTCTATAAACAAATTCCTACTATTCAGTGGATTATCAACAAAAGAAATTTATTTCTTATAGATTGAAGTCTGGGGAATCCATCTTAGCAGATTTGGTGTCTGACAAGGGCCTCAGATAATCATCTCCTTTCTGTGTTCCTATAGGCATAGGGATTGAAGGATATCTCTCAAGCTTCTTCCACAACAATATTTATGCCATTCATGAAGGCTCTGTAACACTTGACCTAATCATGCCTTGAAGACTCCACCCCCTAATACCATGACCTTGGAAATTAGAATACCAATTGGTGAAATGGTTTGAGACTTGCCTTACATTTTAGCTCAACTAAGGTACTTGCCAACAGACATAAGGAACTGAAAATACATTGACAAGTCTAAATAAAACAGTAACACTAAGATTTTCATGGTCTCCCTAGAATATGCTCAGAATTCTATGAGAGGTGAGGGCAATGGTAACTTCCCAGGTACCAACACATGCATGACGCCTGGAGAAAGTGCAGAGTTCTTACCTTCACATGATATCATGTTCCCCAGATCCAGGCATGTCCTGTGAAATTTGAGGAGCAGAGAAAGAGACATGTGGAGGGTCTAGTGAGAAATTCCTTGGGTAGTGCATTCTGATTTCTCTTCTCCACACCACAGGGAAGTAAGGTGAGTTTCATGTAATTCTATTGTTCCAGACACATCTTGTGAAGTGAGTCTTCCTCTTCTTTTTGGGTGGGGCAGATGAAGGGAAATAAGTTGCATGGTATTCCCTAGGGTCCCCAAGGACAAATAGGAGGAGAGAATCTGCCTGGAAGCAGGTTTCTGCTTCTGTATTTGACAAAAACTCCACAAGACCTCTCAGCATCTTACTATAGGGCTTTCTGAGGTCCATGACAGAGATTCCATTGTTTAGGAGATAAGGTACCTGCCACCTCCAAAGAGAAATTTGTCTTCCTCATAGCCTTCATTAACAGAGGGTCCAAATCAGGGAATTCATCCCTGCTTTTCCTCATTTATATCCTTCAGTCCTTAATTCAAAGCTGTACTCTGTCAGTATGGAATCTTAAGGAATGAAAACACTATCTATTTATCAGAACATGAGAATGAAGTTTAAGGATACTTCTGAGAGAGAATCTGTCCTTAATCCATCATAGGAGTACACTGTGTACATTAGAGGTGACTGTCCTTTCCAACTTTGAGGGAAGAGATCATCAGTTTTATTCTCTTTTGCCCCTATAACATCAAGTCTCATGTTAAGAGTTTGTCACCTGATCCTTTGTTTTTGACACAATTTACCTTTCATGGAGCAGAGTTTCAATAATACCTTATAAGAGGAATGCACTCAAGGAACAGCACCATTATTGAGAATGTGGGTCTGGCTACCATCATGAGTTTTTCTCTCTGATGTTCCAGAACGACATCTACAGCCCTCCTCTGGTCACAATTCCTTGATTTTCCTGGAATAAGAATGGATGGTGAATATTGCTCAGTACTCAGAGTCTGTAGTCTCAGTGAGAGTGTTTCTCCTGAGGACATAGTCAGTGTGTGCTCATCAGTTACCATGGTTTGAGAACTGGAGTTTAATACCAAACTCAAACATGCTAGGAATGAAGAAGGAAGACAGTGGGTAAATCTAACATCTCTATTACTCTGAATTGTAAGTAACAGAAGTAGGTGACCAGCCTTGATGCAAACATTGGAAAGTTTCCTTGTATTTTGCTTGAGCTGGATATTCTAATGTGTCTTTGTTTCCTACTGAGTTTAAAGCATGGAGTTGTGGTGTTTGTGTGGAATATTATGCCAATATGAGTAGTTCACAATTCTCTTCCACCATATGATCCCCAGCTCTGGGAGCTGTTTAATCATCAGAGGGAGACTGCCAGAGGGAGTTTGATGATGATTTGTCTGTGAGAGGAAGCACCTGCTCTAACATTGTTCACAGATAACAGAGAAACGTCAGCGTCAAATTAATTTGAAACACTTGAGCTTACTTAAGTTTCTGAAACGACCACAGTGCCTCTAGAGGTCTCTCATTCTAAAGGAGTAGGGTAAATACTGTTGAAGATGAGACTGATTAATTTTTAGATATTGCCATTATTTTTCTCAGGCAATGTCACATTCATTTTCTTTTCTTTGCTCATTACCCTTTATATGTGTTTTCTCTAGTTTATGTTGACATCTTCCCAATTGTCTGTCATTCAGTAAATAGTGGCACTTGATCTTATTTAAATCAAAATATTTTGAATGAACAAAAGAATTATTTCCATGACCATGAAGTTATTGGGATGTGAAGTTATTAATTTCAGGTCTCATGTTGGATGTACATCTGGCATACACAAGCAATGTTTTAGTAATTTACTCTACATAGTTTGAAAATGAAAGTAATACAGGTCTGAGTGCTAAAGTTTGTTACTTCCAGTACAATTTAGAGTAAAATAAGTCACATAGCTGGTCAACAAGGTTTACATGATAAAGCCTCACAAAAAATTTGTACTCCTCTCTCCAGTGAAGTTTTCCTGTGTGCTATAATCCATGTATGGTAACACACATTGTTACCAGAAGAGGTTAACATTGTTTGTGAGTTCAAATAGAAAGTGCACCAGCCTTGAAGGGTGAATATGGGAGACTTTCCACCCCTGGAAGATGTTCCATCTTGTTCACATACTAATATGTGCTCTATCATGTAAAACAAGCCTTGTCAATATGAGAAGAATGTGCACAGCACTGTTCACAATAGTCAAATCATGCAATAAGCCTAGGTGCCAATCAATGGAGAACAGATGACCAAAAGTTGGTATATGCATACAATGGCATTTTTACTAAATCATAAAGCTCAATGAATGTATATCATTGGATGAAAAAGGAAGGAAGTAGACATTATCGTGTTAAGTGAAATAAGAATAAGGCATTTGAGGTTGAAGTGAAATGAGAGTCTCAGTAGCAATGTTCTTTTCAACAGTGTCTCTACTAATTTGCATTCCTCCCAACGATGTAAGAGGATTCCTTTTTCCCACATCCTCTCCAACATAAATTGTTTTTTGTTTTCTTCATAATAGCAATTCTAACAGGAGTGAGGTGGAATCTTAATGTGGGTTTGATTTACACTACCTTTATGGCCAGATATGGTGAGCAATTCTTCATGGGTTTTTAGCTGTATGGACTAGTTCTTTAAAAAAGCTCTGTTCAATTCATCTGTCTATTTCTTCATTTGGTCATTGATTTTTGGGGAGCTTATTTTTTGAACTCTCTGTGTATTCTGGTTATTAATTCCTTTTCAGACATATAGCTGGCAAAAATTTTCTCCCATTCTGTGGCCTGCCTCTTCAATGTAGTGACCATTTCTATTATTGTGCAGAAATTTTCTGTTTCATGTAGTCCAGTTTGTTAACCCTTTCTCTTAGTTGCAGAGCCATTTTTGTTCTACACTGGAAGACATAGTCCGGGTGTTAGTTTCAATGCATTTCCTGCTCTTTCCTGCACTGGCTTCAATGATTCAGATCTTATGTTAATGTCTTAATCTTATATTAAGGTCCTTTAGAGTTGATTTTCAATCTCTGTGGTGTCATTGGCTTTTTAGTAGGGAATGCATTGAATATATAGATTGCTTTTGGTAATATAGCCATTTTTACAATATGGATTTTGCAAATCCATTAACATTTGAGATCTTTCCTTCTTTGTAGTCCCCTTCTAATTATTTCTTGAGTAGTTTATAGGTTCATTGTGTAGGTCTTTCACTTTCCTTTTTAAGGTTATTCTTAGGTATTATTTTGAGGGTATTATAAATGGAATGGCTTCCTTCTATGCTTTCTTAGTTTATTCACTGTTGGTGTATAGAAAGGCTACTCATTTTTGTGAATTTGATATTGTATTCTTTGCTGAAGCTGTTTATAATGTCTAAAAGTTGTTTGATGGAGTTTTCTGGAACTTGATAGAAGACATAAATAACATCAAAAGATCAATAACAAGCAATGAAATTTAAGTAGCAACAAAAAATCTCCCAAAAAACAAAAGTTCAGGACTTGAGGTACTTGTTGCTAAATTCTACTTGACATTTTAACACATTATTCATTTATCCATATGTGCATGTCGTTTGGTTCATTTCTCCCCCCTGCTCCCCACCCCAACCCTCAGTTCCAGTAAGGTCCTGTTCTGCCTTTATCACTAATTTTGTTGAAGAAAAGACTCAAGAATAATAAGGAAGACAAAGCATTTTTTCTAGTTGATTTAAGGATAGCTACAGAAATATTCCAACATTGCTTTTGTGTACACATGTGTTATGACTCATGTTGATTCATCTCTAAAAGTGCCAAAAACCTACACTGGAGAAAAGACTGTCTCTTTAACAAATGTTGCTGGCAAAAGTGGTTACCCATCTGTAAGAAACTGAAACTAGTTCCATGTCTATCACCCTGTACTAGTATCAAGTCAAAATGGATCAAGGACCTAAATTTCAGACCTGAAACTCTGAAGTTATCTACAGGAAGGAGCAGGAAAAACTCTGGAACTAATAGGTATAGGCAAAGACACTAAATCAAAACCCAATAGCCCAGTATTTAAGATAAATGATGACAAATGGGACTTCAAAAACTTAAAAAGCTTCTGAACAACAAAAGGAATGATGTCTAAACTGAAGAGACCACCCACAGTTTGTGAGAAAATATTTGCTAGCTATACATCTGACAAGGGATGGATACCAGAATATACAGGGAACTTAAGAAATTAAACACTCCCCAAACCAATGAACCAATCAAAAAATGGGAAACTGAACTTAATAGAACTTTCTCAAAAGAAGGCATTCAAATGGCAAAAAAGCACATGGAAAAATGCTCACCATTTCTAGCCATAAAGGAAATGCAAATCAAAACCACAAAAGATTCCACCTCACCCTGCTAGAATAGCCATCACCAAAAACACCACCAATATCTTGTGTTGGTGAGATTGGGGAAAAAGAGACCTGATCCTCTGCTATGGGATTGCAAACATTCTGGAAAAATTTTGGAGACTTCTGAAAAATCTAAACATGTATTATTTTAGTTTATGTTTATCATAGGATTTTTTTGTCCTTCAACTTATTGTATACATAACTGGGAATATTCCATCAGAATTAATTTCCTAATACCATACTCTACAGCTAGTAGGTACCTAAAAATGATATTCTATTTGCTGACAGATTCAAATTTCCTAACATTTATAAAGTAAGTCTTTTAGGTATCATTTCAATATTTTAAAAATAAGAAATGATTAAGCATAATTTTGGCTTCATTTTAAAATTTGGGGATTCTTCTTTTGGGGGTTTATTTACTCATGTAGTCATATGCTTCTTGCATCACAGGATGTTCATGCTTCTTCCATCATGGTGCCTAGTTGAAAGGTGGGCAGCTGAACACAGGAATGGAACCAAATATCTGTGGGTTGCACATCATTCATCTTTGCATTCAGGGTAGAAAGGGCAGTTTGGAGGAGTGGCTGTTTCTGAGTGTGCCTGGAGGTTAACCCCTTGAATTCTGGGAGGTGCTTATTAGTCATGAAGCACAATCATT